ATAGAACCCCCACCCCCCAGGAAATTCCAATCCCTTCTGTGGGGGGAGTATGGATATTTTCTGGAACTGCACATTGCAGAAGCAAAGTAGTTAAAACAACCAAGCACATGCAGTCATTCATCAGGCAAACTGTTCCCAAAAACACATCTTAAAGGAGCTATGTCATGGTTTGCGCATCTTGAAAAGTTTAGCCTAAATTTTCAAGTTCATCAATTTTAATTCATGTTAATCTTCTCCATCCTTAACCATCCTTAACCATCCTTGTTGCTTTATGGTTTATTATTATCTTTTGGAGTCTTTTTATCTTACTAAACTACTATTTTCAGGTTTCCTTCAATTTAAAGGTAATAGGCCCTTTGCAGCTAGGGTCACATGACCACATTTTTTCTTAAAAAAATTTCTATTATGGGCTATAACTTAAAGAATGCCAGAAATGGAAAGAGCATACTGAAAATACCAAAATGGCCAAGTTTGAGGCCCCCGTCTATAAAGAATGAGATTTTACGACGGTCTGAATTTTTAAAAAATAAGAAGATTTGTATGGAAAAAGTTGCTGGAGAGCAAGGCCTTGCTCTCCAGCAACAACTTCCATACAAATCCTCTAAATTTTCTGAAAATTCAAACTGTCGTATAAACTTACTCTTTAATGCAAGGGACCTCAAACTTGGCCATTCTAGTATTTTTAATATGCTCTTTCCATTTCTGGCATTTTTTAAGTTATAGCCCATAATAGAAATTTTTAAAAGAAAAAATGTGGTCACGTGGCCCCAGCTGCAAAGAGCCTATTTTACATGTGCCAAAATAACTTGAAATGTTGTGACTGAGCTCCTTTAAGTAGCAACTTACTGGGGTTTTTCTCCTTCTGATTTGCTTCTTGCATGAGGACCAGCACCTGGCCTTCTCCTGGGTGATGTTGCTTCTTTTGCTATTTTCTGTCAAGGATAACACATGTGCCTCTAGATGTGGGAGATACAGCAGCCCATTGCAGTAAGGAGCTCAGTGGACTGGCTGTGGCAATAATTTACAAGTTCTTACTAGAATACATTTGTCCCTAACTTTGTCCAAGAGTGGTAAACATATTTATTAGAGACAGACAGTGCACCTTCCCCTTGTGGATATAATATGGGAAGTGGGCAAACCTAATGTTGGATTCAGAATCAAGCAGCCAGAGTATGAGCCCTGGATGAGTTACGTTCTTGGTGTTAAGACACTTTACTCTCAAAATGCCGCTCTCCACCCAGGGCTCAGTTATATATTAAAGAGTAGATCGCATCATTAACCAGGCAGGGCTCAAACCCGAACCACTCAATCCTGAGTTGAGTGCACTAACCATGAGGCCGCCACCACCCCTCCACTAGAATAAATTTTAAAAAACGCTATTTTGTAACCCATTCCTTTTCTTAACTGCTAGGCAGGAGATGGAAATCTAGCTCATCCGTTTTATTCCAATGCAAAAGTAACAATCTTCCCATATTCAAAGCAAGGATACAAGCTTGCTGAGTTGGCACTCTCGAGGGTGGTCTGATTGGAGTTTGTAGTTTTGCCAGATTCCTTATTTTTAAGCTGTTAGCTGATGGTGTGTAGTTATTAGCAATGGATTCACTTGGTGTCCTGGCATGAGCTGTCTCTTTGAAAGGCGCAGCTCGTGTCCAGGAAGGGTCCTTCATTATAGGTGGGTGTTCACTATGACGCAACACAATCTATGAGAAAAGAGAAAAATTATTAACCTCGCTCTTTGAATGGAACCCTAATGTGTAGCGATTCAAGTGAAAACTAATCAGCAATACTAATTGGTGTCAGTAGAACTACTTGTTTTTACATCCCTTACAAAACAAAATTCAGGAACTTTTCAATTTGAATTGCTTACATTATTGATGGTAGCAAATGTATGTGACAAAACCTTTGGAAGCACATTATTAATAATAAGTACCCAGCACAAAGTGAAATTGTATTTTTGAACTCCAGTGAATAAACAAATAGTAAACCAACTGCAAAATCTCAAATCTATTATCATTATATTTTCCTACATTTTCCTCACAAAAGTTTGCTATTTTGCATGTGCAAGGAAAAATCTCATAATCAGCTAACATCTTACCCTACAGTCAGTATCACCTGACAAATTCTCCTTACTTGTTTCTATGTACTTGTTTAGCTAATCAATACAGTTTCGCTTAGGTGATTATATAACCCGGGGGGGGGGGTACTCCCTTATATGGGCTATATAGGTATGTGCAGCTCTAAAGAGGGTATGGTTTTTCAGCCGCTTTGGTCATAAACAGGGTATCAATTTTGGTCTCAAATAGGGTATGGTTTTTCACTCTCGTCTCAAATTGGGTATGTTTTTTAGAAGCTACTTTTTCATCATTACCAATAAGACCATCACCAAAAGCCCTTCATAAATTTTTAGGGCAACTGTACCAGCCACAACAGTCATACATGTAAATAGGATGCTGAATGTTTGGTCAGGTCATAAATAGGGTAGAGGAAAATTGCAGATTTTGGTCATAAATAGGATAAGGGCTTTGGGAAGTGGGCTGCACACCCCTACCCAGTTTTTCTGGGAGTACCCCCTCCAGGGTATATAACTACCTTTTTCATCAAATTAACAACTTGACATCAGTTTTTCATGCGTCTGTCCTGTTATTGATCATGAATTTTGTCATAACATTGTCAATAACAGGACAGACGCATGAAAAACTGACGTCAATTTGTTTTTTACCATAACAAATAATTGTCAAATTGTCTGCTCTCACTTGTTGCCGCATTGCATAAATTATAATTTCATGTGTCTGTCTGCTTATTGACAATGAAATTAGCCAATGATCGTGTGAGAACTTCTGCAGTTATCGTAAAAAGAAAATTTGGGGGGACAAGGGGATTCATCCTGGATCTACTACAGGCAAGTGACTCTAAGCTCCCATTAACATTTTAAAGTAATAAGTGCTGACATTTGTTTCTATCCTGAACTCTTCAAAACCTGAAGTCATTTATTTCACTTACTATTTTCTGATACGTTGGACAAATTCTTAGCTAATAACTCTAATCAACAGATAACAGTTACAATATTTTTCTCATAAACTTGTCACCATTACAAAGACAACAGCATTAGAATGGCACAGTTTGACAATTGTAAACTATCTCTGTTGTGGTTAATCTTTATTTTTAGTTTGAATTTCTTTCTAGCCAATTTCATTTTCATTTTCCTTTCCAAGCATTAAAGCTCTAAAATTAATTTCCTCTTTTTTTTTCTAAATCAGAGCAAAAATCAATTAATTGCTACCCATCTTTGAAGCCGGAACTATTCTACCGATGATCTCTTTAAAACCTCCAAGTAGGTATATGGAATTAACTTTTTCGCGCTTAACTCTTAAGCATGGCCATTTTACTTACGTCTCTTCGAGTCTTTTCCGTTTCAACACGACAAAATGACTTTTGAAATTCTCTGTTTTATGAATTTCGGTTAAATAAACAATCGCAAGAAGTATAAACAAACAAAACTGGTTATAATATCGACAAGACGATTTTCAGCTAATGAGGGATTTTACGGTCGACTGATACATAAGCTTACCTGTTCTCGTATCCGTTGATTTACTAAAAACAACTCTTTTCTTATCTTTTCATTTTTCTTCTCACTAATATATTTTAGAGCTTGCATGGCAACGGTAAGAAAAGAGATCGCGGCTTTCTGAGATAGATAAATTATGAATGACTATGTCCTAAACTAATTATTTTGCACTGCGCGCATCAATGTTATTTTTCACAACCACTGGGATTTCGGAACGAGACAATGATAGTTTGACGATGAAAGCAACTGCTTCGCGGCAACTAATTAAACTCGGATAACTTGCTCAAAACAATAACAATCAGTTCATTAGTTATCGCGGCAGCTGCATTAAATAAAACTAACCTGGTATAATTCAGAAGGTGTCTCGTGAGATGGCGGGAGCGGTGGTAAACCAGGCAAGCCACGGGTCTGCGAACAACTGAACACTCCGTTGTCGGCGTACTGAAATTAAAGTCATAAAAACACTCAGACAACACTTGAACACAACTCAGAAATTTAAAATGGCTACTCTGCAGTGCAATCTGTCATTTATACTTGCCTTCACACGCTGCATCTTGAGGGTTGCTAGCTCACTTGAGGATCGAAGATGTTATCGCGAAGTTTAATCAAATTCAATTCTCTTACTTTGTTTAACCGCAATGCAGGCAACTGAGCAAACAGCTCTTGATCACCATATTTCAGACATTTCTTACACCTCGGACTGAAGCCTGGAGGGTTAAATGATTAGTTATAGGGGTGAAAAGCCAAGAAATACAGCAAGTTGTGTATTCCTTGGCTCTCTTGCAAGACACTTTTCTTAATTTTCATCCGGGACTCGCAGTTACCATGTTTACCCATTGTCTTCGTCACGTTGCTACGGTCCCGCGGGAACGCGCGCAACTCAAAATTTCGCGAATATCGTAACTCACTCTTTGGCTTCAATTAATCCCTGAAAACTACTCTTTTAATTAATTAATTCGCGGAATTTTGAAGGATTCCAACGGGATAAAGAGCGCACTTTTCTTTTCTGAATTTATGGTTAAAACCGACATTTTTATGAGGAAGTGTTTAATTTGTACCTGATCAATTATTGATCATAATGCGTCAAAGTGCCGTCAAAAAAAAACAGCCAATCGCCTTCAAATTCATTGTATTTCTTCACAACAAAAAATACTCTTTAAAGGTTGGAAAGGACTGAATGAAGTGAACGCGCGAAATCCATATGTCTGCTCTCACTTAGATGCGAGTTCTGAGAAACCAATGAACACAAGAGAATTTTTATTTTCCGGCTGCAAAAAACGTTTTTAAATATCCCAAAAACAAATTAAATAACGAAATGCCTCGTATTTCTCAGTTTCAGCTGCTCAAACCAATACAGTTTACGTTAATAACAAATTGGCTCAACGATTTTGGCGCGAAATTAACAATTGATCCCGAACTGCCAGTGGTTATTGACCGTCCACGGAGCTTATGTGTACAAATAACTTAACTGGAACAAAAACATTCCACTTATACACTCCTAATCAAGCTAAACAGTCCCATAGGACCCAGAATAACGATAAGGACGCCATAACAACTAGAATAAACAAAGACACTTTTATGCTAATCAATCAGTGATCGGTCGAAAACTCAAACGGAAAACACTTTAGGCACCGCATGCGATAACTGTTTCGCCGACTTCGGGACCATAATGGCAGCTCTTGAAGTCATTCCAGAAGGTATGTCCTTTGTTTTTCAATTCAATAATCATTTATTAACGAAGCATTTCACGCTGCTTTAAATGAAATTTAAAAGCCGTGGAAGTCAGTGGAAGGTACTTTTAACTTCTAGCTCGATCGCCGAACACTGACAACTGGCATAACTGTAATTTAACAAAAAGGTGGTATATTGATTTCATTTCTGTCTCAGTATTATAGAAATTTAGGCCGAGCTATTAGGTTTTTACGTTTTTGGCCGACTTAGAACACTGCCAGAGCCAGACAAACCACAATTCTCAAACAATTCAAATTATTGCTCATTCAAAGTCTCGAAAGCCACCGGTTGCCAGATCCAATGAAACCAACTAACATCTGCAAGTTCGGTAACACTTTCGTGTAAAAATTGAGTAGAATTAAAATACAGCTTGTAAAAACCAAGCATTTTGATATATTGAGCCGGACCATTTTTGATTTGCATTACTTTATGGGATGGAAAGAGCTAGCGGAGCCTAAGTCGAATATTCAGTCCTTTATCATGTTACTTCTTACTTAGTGGGTTGTCCAGTTGTCCCAAAATCTTCTACCACACTTTTACAATCAGTTTTGTAATGGCCAGGGTAGTTCAGCTGATTTTGACGCACTAACGAGACGAGAGCATTGAAGACGATTTTTTAACTGATTTCATTATCACTCCCACTCAGCAACAGATCAAACTACGGTATTAAAACGTCAGAATTGAAATCAGATGGACACCTCGATAACGAATCTGAAAAAATCAATATACGCACTTTTCTCATTAAAACAGCAAAACACATTAGGCACCCTCAATTGTGTTTTTTCTTAACTTTATCTCCGCTCTATCATAAAATTCATCAAAATGGTGTTATTTCTTTTCAATATGTCGGACTAATTCATTTTTAATGGACCTAAGTGAAAATAAGAGATAAAAATATTGAGTACCATCCGTGCGGTTATCATATAATCACCTACTTAACTTCCAATGACTTTCTCTTATCACAATACCTAGTCGTACCTTTTTAGCTCGCTTCGCTAGCATATCACGCTGCGGGCTTGGCCAGTCGAGAACCTTGTTTCGCGAGACGCGGTCGAGCCGGACTATCCTATACCATAGCATGCCGCCGAAAGGTACCGCCAAAAATGTGCAATTAGGCCTTTTCCGAACCTAAATTTAGCCACAAATCTGTCTATATCAGGTCAGAGACTTCGTAGCGTGAGCTTAAATTAAAAGGACTGCATTAGGACAGAAGACAAGGCTTCTGATTGGCTATTTAAATTGCGAATGTGGAACGATTGAGACACATGTGGATTAAACGTTATTCTGCTTTAGTGGTACGGAAACAAATGTTAAAAATTGTGACTCTACAGTCTGTTTCAAGTTTCTACTGATTTAACTCTTTCGCTTCTTGTTACCTTTGTGGTTTGTACCACATTGAGTTATTTGAGTTACTTCAATGGGTCTCAATTTAGCGGATGGTTTTGTACGTCCGTAACCTGATGAACAATGCGACGTGTGCATCTTATAAAGATTAAGAAGCCCGATAGATCGGAAACGATTTTCTTGTTTTATAATTTCCAAGCCCTTAGTGTTTATGTTGCCGCATTCTAAGTATTTCTGTTTAAACATATTTGACACGCGATGCGGAGTTTGCTAGCTATAAGCAGCCGTCACTGCTACAAATTAACTCAAGACATGCGGATAAGAATGTCAAATTAAAACGACTAAAAGTAGACAGACCCAGATACAATCAGTTGTCTTTGCAGTTTCTGACAGGCGTGGTTTCTCCAAAATTCTTTACTCCGTACTGCAAATAAACTTTTAATTACTACTTTAGACAGCACAATTGACATTTGTTTCTACCATAAATAAAGTTATGTTTGATAGACCGGAATGCAAGATTAGTGAAATGAGATTCTGGATGGGGTTTAATGACGCGATCTGAAACTGATAGCTGAGATCTGGAATTTGAAATCTGAGAACAGGAAGCTGAGAAATGCGCTGGAATTTTAACTTGATTTTAACTGATCCAGCAACCTATATCCAGGACCCCGTGAAGAGAGTGAAATTTTGTTCGTGATGAAAAAAATTTATACTTTTTCAGTGTGTCGAAATATGAATTCCGTTTGCTCCGTGAAGTCTGCAAAGTGTAGAGATTCAAATGCCGGAAAAACATACATGTATAATTTCATCTGTTTCTGTTTGGCTTCTATTATGCCATGCGTTGCTAGGTTACAAAGCCGAATGAAAACAGACGGTGACACAAAAGCGCAGTTGATGATTCCCCCACTGCGCTCTGAGTTAATTGATTAATCTATAATGATACATTGTTAATTTCTACTTGTTTTTGCTGTAGAAATCTTTTCTAAACCGAGAATGCGTCAACCAGGACGAGGTTCCAGCTTGTATCAGCTCAGTATAAGCAGAGCACCCGAACTTCGTTGCGTCAACAGCCCAGTGAAATCATGCGGTGTCTGCGAGGACTGTTGTTTAGGCGCGAAGTTGAATCACACCAAGGAATGGTTTTGTCGTTGTGGTGAACCAGTCAAAAGGAAGTACATTCTGGGGCTTGTTCAGCGTTTTGACTCTATGGATTTGCTTGAATATGTCACATCTCTGCTTCAATCTTTTCAGTACAAAGACTTCACGTACATGCGGTCGCGGAGCAAACCGAGTTTGATCGTGGACACTTCCAGTCCGCCAACAAACCACGCGTTGAACGAAGATGAATTATTACAGACTATTGACGATTACCTGGAGTGGTTTTCAGGGAGTACTTATTGGTCAAAAGCAAATTATTTATTGGGTTTAATGCAGTTGTGTGATACACATCTTCTACATATTTTGGCAACCAAGACTAGAGCAATGTGCGAAAGGGAACGAAGAAGGCAAAGAGCGGTGGACGATGGGTTAATCGATAGAGGTTTGTATCTGTTTATTTTCTCAATAACATAAAGCAAATAGCTTGTCTGGTTTAATTATTTTGGAGCGTTTTCGTAGAAATTGAGGTTCAACCTCTTCTTCTTCATTTTGATCGATGATTGCGTGACAGATGCGTGACATAGCCTCCCAATGATGTCATTTGAGACGCCTTGATGACGTCATGTTAAAGGTAGAGACTTGTCCAACATGCTTTATAAATTGCAAATTTCAACAAACATTAGGTTTTATACTGTCATAACAGACAACTGATCACATGTCATGTGTGTTGTGATTGGTGGATTTTCTTGGCTGTCGTTATAATAATTACCATTTTGCCTTCCAATAGCACATGAACATAGAAAATCCAAATGGAACTAGCGATTGCATTTTTGGCTGTCATCATTCTTAATCACGAGGTCTCTTCTCTTTTTGTAGAGGATGACGAGTACATGTCTTTGCACAGCTACGTGTCCGGGAGTGATGACCCTGTCGTAGCCAAGATGGAAAGTAACAAATCACCAGCCCCAGAATCAACGGCAAGCCAATCTGGATCTTCAGGCATTCACGACACTCATTCAGCAGAAATTCACTCAATCATCAGTGAAGAGCTTGAATTTAGTCGGTCCAAATCCCCAGGAGATTTAAGTACAACAAAATCACAATCTCACAGGAGCACACATTCTGCAGACATGCTTGGCTCTGACCTCCGATCTCAAGCCTCAGCAGGATATGTTGGAAGTCCTGTTTCTCAGTGTCGTTCTAGGTCTATACCACCCTCTAGGCAGTCTTCAAGAAGGCCTGCAAATGAAATGACAGATTTTGAAAGGGAATTCTTCTCCGAAGATTATATGTCGGGTGATGAAGAGGACAATGAGAATTTCATCAGTTCTTTGACTCAAAATGACTCTTTCATGCCTGATTATTTAGGTTCTGGAAAATATAAGGACTTTTTAAGGTGTTTACCAGTTCATCTGTCCAAGCGGATTCTAGGAATGTTGGACAAGAGTAGCTTGACAAACTGTTTGTGTCTAAGTAAACATTGGAGAGTTCTCGCTGAGGAAGTTAAACAAGATTACATGGTGCACCAGCTGATGACAGAAGAGATCATGCTTATGCAGGTCAGTCTTATCAACTGGGTTTTATAGTTGACCTGAACCCTTACATAGTTAACCCATNACCTGCCAGGTCTTTATAGCCGTAAATCAAGAGTTTTATGAATAGGGCTTTCTTAGACAGTTGAGCAATAAGGACGTTGATCAGGACGCTTGTAACTTTTGATTGAGCATAAACCCTGCTTGTAATTTTATCTTGTTTATCTTGGTGCCCTTTATTTATGTCTTTGGGACAATTTTTACTGCAAACAGTTAAATCCCCTTTCAGTGGTGGCTGATTCCTTATAAAAGGACAGTCACACCACCCCCTTTAAATTCCTTAAATTCCTCGAATTCCATGAATTATTTCAAACAACTAATTTTTTTTACAATCTAGATATATTTCTGTATTAGCTCTGAAAATTACATTCTTATGGGGTTAATATTGCTAATGTTTCGTTCATAGTAAAATGTGCAAAAACTTGCCAAATTTGCCTGCAGTACTACCTTAAATGTATCAACATTTAAAAATAAGCAGTATCAAAGGTCAGTCACTCAAAGATCAGACTCTTACTGTGTTGTCTGATTTCTATTCAGGGAGCATCAGCCAAGGGTATGAATCCAAGATATGCTAAGATTGTGCCTGTTCATGTTCCTCTGGATCTCGACGAGAACACCAAAGAAGTTCTCAACCTTGGTTACAAAGCACGTAAAGATGTCAAAAGTCAAAATCTAAAGGAATGCTATGAAGGAATTGCTACCAAGGAAATCAGAATGGAGGAGAGGAACATCTACTGTGGTGCATATAATGTGCTGGTTCTTCAGGACATGTGGGTAGCTTTATTTCACTTAGAAGAAATAATTAAATGTATCACATTCAAACATTTTGACAGAAATGCTCTTTGAGTGTTACGCATCAGAACACTGTTTAAATATGAATTTTAATGCATGTATCATCCTTGTAGATCCCATAGTTACATGTATGCTCTTGTATTATTCATTGACTGTAGCTATTGTCACTCCAGTTTTCCTCTACAGTTAAACTAGGGTATCCCTGATTGTAATATGCTTACAAATTCTCTTTTCCTTACATTAGAATGATGTGGTAGTCATAAAGTGAAATAATTTTGCTAAATCCTTGAGCAGTTAAAACTGAAATTAAGATGGATCTAAAGAGTTCATAACTTGTTCATCAATAATTGGGCATTTGTGGGATGCCATTGTTGTGACATTAGCTGACAAAAAGATGGTAGTATTAAGCCATCAAAGAAGAAGTGTTGAAAAAAGTCTGGAAACTGTTGCCAGCCACCCTAAGTCAAGTCATGAATTTTCCTTGGATCAAAACAATTAATATGAAACATTAATTGAAACATATATGATCAATTTCTGTTGGGAATGCCCTCGGGGGAGGGAACTCCCATATAAAAAGGGCAGGGGTGCTTGTTGGAAATTTTGAAAAGAACCCCTAAGAGGTACCAAGATCCTGTTTTGTGGGGCCGGCGTGGCTTAAAATGTTTTTCACCCCTAACGGGTACCAATTCTAAGGCAACACCTTTTCTCCTGTCATATTTTTTTGGCTCAATACCCTTAAAGGTACCGCAAAAGCTCCCGCTGCAGACTTTTTGAGGCTAAACACCCTAAGAGGTACCAAAACTGCCTTTTTAAGCCGTAAAAAATACGACGAGCACCCCCGTCCTTTTTATATGGGAGCATCAAAAAGTTTGAAACTACCTATCTGGTTTCATTAACTAATTAGAATGCCATGAGAATTAGTTATAACTACCCAGTAATTCTAACATGGTAAATACACCTTGCAGAGAGGATCCCAACCGATGTGCAAACTATAATGGAGGGCGACTGGTTGTGTCTGGATCATATGACAGACGAGTTCGACTTATAGATGCTTCCACAGGCAAGTGCAACAGGACTATTCAAGGCCATGCAGGATCTATTCGCTGTGTTTATGTTTCTGAAGAGAGAGGAGTAGTATTGAGTGGTGGCTATGACACTTCAATAAGGTACATGTAAATGTCCAATAGGTATTAAATACTGTATGCAAGAAAATTGTTTGAAGTTTTTGAACTTGTAGCCTAGGTGTGTCCTTGCAAACATCATAACTGATTAATGACTGAGTGACTGAACAACTGACTGACTGACTGACCGACTGACTGACTGACTGACTGACTGACTAATGGACTGACTGACTGAACAACTGACTGAATGAATGACTGTCTGACTAACTGAATGAATAACCAACCAACTGACCGATTGACTGACCAGTGGACTGACAGACTGACTGACTGACCGATCGACTGGCTGGAGGGTCATTTAAGTGAATAAATCAATCTTGCATTGTTTATATTTAGTAATCTTGGTTTCTTTTCTTAGATGCTGGGATATAGGCAGAGGAAATTGCAAGTGTATATTCAGAGGGTAAGTCAAGTTAAACTTGTCAACAAAATCTGTAGTTCAATAGTGCTAAACTAACTTTTGAAGATTGTCTTTATTTGTGTACATGTAATATAAACAATAGCCATGTGGTTTTATTTCATTTAACTATCAGATAAACTTATCAGATATCCACATGATAACTTATTATAATCACATTTTGAATTTTTTCCAGGCACCGGGCCACTGTTCTGTGCATTGCTCTTCATGGAAATCACCTGGCTTCTGGGTCCAGGGATAAAAGTGTTAAAGGTAAGTGAAGGTTATGTAATTCCATCTTCCTTGCATTGTTATGAAACAGCTACATCTACCTATCTATCTTTTCTTTTGTTAAGATTCAAGGAATATGAAGACTGTAAAGTACTTCATGTTAGTCTTTAATCACAGTTACTAGCTTGTATTTGATTAAAGTACCCTTGCTATTCCGTATAATTTATGTGAAAATAATTAAGCAAAAAGTAATTAACCTCTTGGTTTCCATTCTAACTGCACGCACTTGGCAATGTTTTACATGACTTATTCTCTATCTTGTTTGAACACAACTTGGGCAAGAAACCTGAAAGGAAACTTCTTAAAATTGAGGCTTCCAATTGGCCATTTCTGAGTTAACTTGTGCCTCTGCTTTAAAACGAGTCTTCAAAACCTTTGTTGTAAAAATAAGTTTGATTTGCATGAAAATGAACTCCTAGGTGGAGCTCGTTTTCATATGAATTGTTTTGCTCTTAGACTTGTTTTGACATAGAGGCAAAAGGCAACTCGGAAATGGCCAATTTTCTTTGACTTCAACTTTTTCACTTGGCGTAGACTATGCTTAGTTTGTCAACTGAAGAAATTCCTTTCACCCTCTCTCTGGAGAAAGCCTCTAACAAGTAAGTTAAGCTGCATAAAAGAGACTTGTTTTCTTAAAAATTGTTCTTTTAATATAGTGTGGAACTTTGCTACTGGCAAGTGCCGGCGGACCTTTCGTCATAGACACGTGGTACAAACTGTTCGTGTAAGTAGCTTTTTGGGGTCTGTTTGCTTTCTTTTCTTTTCTTTTCTTTTTTTTTTTTTTTTTGAAATTTTGGATTGTTACTTATAGAAATATTTCCTAGCAACCGATAATTGTCGTGACTGAGCACAATTCTTAATTATTGCAGGCAAATCCTACTTGCACAAAGCACACAAGATCTAATCTTTGGTTAAGCATGTGCTGTTACTTGACAAATCGTTAATCCTCATTTTATGCAGCGTTTTTGATTTTTTTTGTCGAATCGGAAAGTTGCTCAAACATACATGTAACGATTGTAAGTTCCGCCTGGGCACCTCTTGAAGCTTACAGACCCTATTGGTATCCCTTATGCTATCTTAGGTATTTCTCGACCATTCTATGGCAGGCTGGCAGTTCTAAAATTTCCCTAGAAATATATCTTTTGACCAAAAAATGAGCTGACCTAAAAGTTACCCCAGCCGATTGTTTAATAACTCTTCAGTTTTCCAAGGTTTAACTGCATTGTAACACATGCAAACAGCCATTTGCTAAACGGTTTTCTACCTTCCTTTTTTCTTGTAGGTTTCTGACACTCTAGTTGTTAGCGGATGCGAAGGTGGAAAAGTGAAAGTGTGGGACATAGAACAGGCGTCTTTACTCAAGGTAAAATAACAATGAGAGATCGATATGAAGACATGATTGATCATCACAGTTATGCACACCGCTTAAGCAGTTGAGAAATTAAAACCTGAAAAAAACTTCAGGCCTGAACGGGATTCGAACCCCTCTGCGACACCAGTACAGTGCTTAACTAGTGAGCTATCAAGGCGATTGGGAGCTGGGACTCGTTTCTCGAAAGCCCCGGAAACTTTTCGCGCACCCAAAGCTATTTTTAATTTGTCTGTATCTAAAAACAGAGAAGTGTATACGCCTGAAACTTTTTGTATGAAGGGAATCTCTGTTCATATTAAGAATATGTGAATTAAACAGCTCTGTAATCATAAGGTTTGAGATTTCGCCATGACTTCCCGGGTGCGAAAACTTTTCGGGACCTTGGAGAAACGAGTCACTGGTCACGTTGTGAGTTCGTAATATACCCGTAGATGACGAAGAATTCGGCAAGAGAGGATGAGGAGTGAGAGAGTTCATCCTCCACATAGGCCTTATTCACAGCGTAATCCCTCTAAAGCTATTTTTAGATCACTCTCGGTTTCGGAAATTCCCAGAACGGTCTAGAAGCAGCCAATCCGGTGACGTGGATTTCGCTCACGTGGACAGTCTAAGCAGCTTAACATGCGTTTTCATTCTTCACGAAACAATCCATGAAGTGTGCGTGATAACATTACCCTCAGAAGAATTGGGAACCATGTCTAAAAAATAACTTGAGGGAAAAGGTCTATATAGGAGATTAACTCTCTCCCCTTCATCCTCTCCCTTCATCCCTTACTTTTTCTGTTGTTGAAATGTTTTACTCTAAAGAAACAAACTAAGATAGTTACGTTGTAATTGCGGTGAAACTTCCAACTTCCTTTGGGTTTTGATCAACTTAGTGGTACTTACGAACGCAAAACGCGCGCACATGTCACTGACGGAAAGCGCGGGAAATGTCACTAAGCAATTCATTGTAGTTTTGCACCTGAATGACCTAAAAGAAAGAAACGTGATGTAACGTGACTTTAAAACAACTAATACTGCTATAGTAAGTAGATGCTAAACCAAACCTTATACAACCGGGATTTATTGTAGAAAGTGACTGAGGAATTTCTGTATTCCACGACTTTTACTAACTTATGTTTGATTGGATTTTGTTTCCAGTCCCTTGACGGTCATCACGGAGCAATCACGTGCGTGACGTTTGACGAGTATCACATCATCACTGGCAGTTTAGATTGCTACGCTATGGCATGGAGCTCTATTGGAAAACACAAAAAATGCCTGCAGGCATTTAGACACCCGAAGTATGTTAATTCTTACTGTTTTTTTTTTTTTTGCACGTTCCATTTGATTCTTCGTAAGAAGGAGAAGTCTGTGACCTGAAATAGTCAATGTTGTCGAACGCGTCACCCTGTCGAATGCGTTACCCATTTGGCCTCTTTCCCAATGGTCCTTAGGGCTCGTCACGCAATAGACTGTTCACAGCTTCTCTGTTAACGCACGCGAAAGAAAAAAACGAGCGAAGTGAGTGCGAAGCACGCAGGGGTGGAGGGTGGGCTATTTATCTCGGTACCCGCCCCCTACCCAGTCAAGTCTTCCGTTTTGCGCTGGCGTCCAGGTCTCTTGGGATTTTATCCGCGCGTTCAACGAGCGAATAAAAATACGAGAAAATAGAGGGCTGTGAACAGTCTAGTCACGCAATATTTCCTTTCCCACCTCGGAGGGGAACTACTAAGGGGGAGGAGGGGGAGACTACTAACCATTAGACCTCCGCGTCTCTTACATTTCCCTCGTTTTGTTGTCTCAAGTTTTAAACGGAGAATCTTTGGTACCGTATGAGGCCCCATTAGGGAGAGCGGAGTCTGGGTATCCCACATTCCGTTAATTTTTGGCCAAAATATCCCTTTTCCATTGATTCCAATTGCAAAATAAATGATTTTCCAACTCGATATCCCGGTTTATCTGATATAAATATCCATATCCCATTAATTTTCCTCACAAATATCTTGTATCTCGTTGTTTTTTTTTTTTTACCAAAATGTCCCATCTCCCGAAAACTCCTAATAGGGCCTCTATCCTGTATTAAAGACTTCACTAAACACCCTACTCTATTTCCGACGCAGGAGGTAAACTGAGCGCTTCAACGTTGGTTTTATGTTTTTTCAAGAAAAGTTCTCAATTTAGGTGTTCAATTTTTTTAATCTGTCCTTTTCAGGGAAGTGCTATGCCTGGAGTTTCTTTACTGTCGAGTTGTAACTGGCTCCGCGGACGGAAAGGTTAGACTTCAAATCTTGTTGGTCTTCAAACATTAGATCGCTTTTATATTGCGGTGCTTGTATTAAGATTTACGCTGGATTTTTTCCTTATTATTATTTTCCTTTTTTTGTGTTTCAGCTACGCATCTGGAATCTTTTAAACGGTGACTGTCTGCGAATTATTCGTGGAAACAGTAAAAATGACCCCATTACAACAATCAGAGCGTCAGGGGATAGGTAAGTTGTTGTCAGCTCCAATAATGATCGATTTTTCTCCGTGGCTCAAGCTCCGTCCACACTACGGCGGAGAAATTTGAAAACGGTGTTTTCACTTTGAAAACACATCAAATGTTTTCCGTCCACATCACACTGGAGAAATTTGAAAACGGTGTTTTCACTTAGAAAACACATCAAATGTTTTCCGTCCACACTACGTTGAAAAAATTTGAAAACGCAACAATCACCGGTCATTTGGGATTTCTGTTTGAGGAAAATCCCGGCAGGGAAATCACTTGATTATCGTGACGCCATCGTTTTCGAAAAGCTCCGTTTTAAAAATGTCTTCCGTCCACACGAAAACACAAAGCCGGCGTTTTCAAATTCCTCCGGTTTGAAGAGCGTTTTTGAAAAGCTCCGTTTTCGTGACGGATTACATGTAGTGTGGACGGAAGGCCTAACCGCAGAAATAAAGCTGCGTTTTCAAATTTCTCTGGGGTAGTATGGACGGCGCCTCAGGCATATGCGCTTAAATTCTCCCCGTTGGTACTGTAAGAACGTACTACCTTCAGTAAGGAGAAGCTGTATTAAACATCACAGGCTTAAGACATCGGCAGAGCAGGAAAACTTCGTAGTTCTCGTGCTATTTTTGGATTGGCCTAAAAAGAATCGAACATTATTTGTGGACGTCCACGACTGATTCTCGTGTGTTCGGTGTCTTTTTCAAATGCGTTCTTGTTTTGAACTTCTTACCAAAGTATTTTTTTTTTTTTCTCTTCCATACTTTTTGTTTTTAAATCTTTTTCAGGATGATTGTCAACACATTAAGCAATCTTCTGATTTTTAACTTCGAGGCAGTCCTGTGGGATTTTAACTTGGAACCCGAGCGACCGGAAGGACTGGGTAACCTCAACATCTATGCCAAGACTCCACCTCGCAGACTGGCGCGTTCCCACGTGCGTGCGCACAAGCTGATGCGCGCTGACACTAGAGACAGTCTGCCTTCCCGGCCTCCTTCACGGGTGAAAACACCTACAGCTTGTGACCTCAACGTAACTTTAGCTCCACCAAACAGCCTGCCCCTAAGGATCTCAAGCGCGCCTCCACGAATTAAGCACCAAGAGAGTACCATAAACAGCATGAATGCACATGTGCAAAGGATTTTAAAAGCTCACAAAGAGCAAAAGACTCGTCCCCAGTCTTCGCCGGCTCTGACTTCTTCCTGTAAGTCACGTGGTTTGACAGAATATGATATACCCCCGACAGATGTCGATGGAGATCTTAGAGCAAGTATGATTATCACGAAAGTCACACGCTCACCTCCTAAACCGCCATCGTTCCCAGAGAACAGACGTTCTCAGGTTATAACGCGTAGTCGCTCAGCGCCCGCGTATCGCACGCAGGTTCTACCGCCAGGCAAACGCGGTTGGACTACGTCTGCGACTGAGCCGCTAAAAGCGCCGGAGAATAAGATCATGATGAGCGCACAACAAGCGCGGGAAAAAATCGCCACAATGCGACCGCGCAGTGCGCAGGTACAGTCAACGAAAGAGTCGATTTCAGTCAATCCGGTCAAAAGCTTGTCATGCTTAAATTTGAAGACTTACAGCAGTCAGTTGCAGTTTGAACAGAGCTTACAGCAGGGATCCTTGCGTGACAGGGGAGGACGCGTCACATCGAAAGGCACTCATCGACCAAAATCTTGCATTCCTTGTGTACGGTAACACAATACACTTTACTGTCCTGGAAAAATCAGAATCTTGACTCGCCTCAATCAGCTAGAAACTAAACTTCCTGCTCACTTCTGTAAGAGCTGTCGACGAGACGAGGACAGAAGCGAGGCGAAGAGAATTCAACTTGTTACTTCTAATATTCTTGCTTTGACAAGCAAACGCTTAAGTACTGATCCAGAGGTTCGAAGAAGACGCAGGCCCGCACGCCGCAGTTTCTGTTTTTATTTTTGTATCGAGTTGACAAGAACGTTGAAATGTTAGCAATAAAAATTATTTTATTTTATTTGATGGAGGGACTTATTTTAAGACGGGGGAGTCTCAAAACTCCGGGTGATGATTGGTATTATTTCAAACCCTAGGATTACGGTAAAAATATTAATTGGTAGGGCATTGGAACCTTCCCGAGCGACGACCCGTAATGGCGAGTTTCTCAAACTATACGTGAAACCTCGTAGGCGATAGTGACCAATGTTACCCTTTCCTTTTGATTTGTGTCCATTGCCGTCAACCACCAATAAACAGAAACTCCATAAAACATGCTGATGTAAACAATTTTATTATCAGCAAGGAAATGGTTCAAGATTCGGATTGGCTTCCTGAGTGGTCCAGATTTTACAATACGGACTACTAAGATGGACCGCTTACTGATTAGTTTCGGCGAGTTGTTTTTCTCAGAAAATTCTCAAAACATTTCTTCCTACATGTCTGGAGGATAATTTTCAACTAAACGTCCACGTAAACGTCCTGAAAACACCAATATATGCTTACCTTCAGTGCGTGCGTTTACGAAGAATGGATGCATGAATTTATTCAAAAAAAGTCCCATTAAAATAATGGTTGGTTGAACTATATTTTTGATTACTGATTTTGATCAAATTCGAACCCCGAACCGCTCGCTCGTAAAACACCCAACCTATTTCGGACTAAGCCACTAGGATTTCAAAACTTAGCTTATTCTCTTGCACATTTCTGGAGAAAAGAGGCAAGCTCACGATCACAATCTTTCTTGGCTCTCACTGAAACATCCGAACGAGTGGGTGGGTTCAGGCGTATGTACGTACTTTTCTGTATTCTTGATAGGGGTATGTTGGCTGAATCTTGAAACCGTCAAGAAATACGACAATCTCTGTTGACGACAAACCTTTAAATTTTGCCCTGAACTTAATCTACAGAACATTAATTTTAAGCTTGCAAACTTACAGATTACGACTATACCATTAAGTAGTCATGTCAGATGGAAGAGGATTGGAAACAGCTGTTAAATCAATATAAACAGCGGATTATATCTGCAAGTGAAACTTTCATTTTTCTTTAAGGTTCCCAGTCTCGTAGATAAACTAATCCTAATTTCTGGTCTAGTGGAACTATTAGTAGTGACTTGTTTTCAACTTGTATTCAAATACTTCATCTTCATTTGGCCTGGAATTCTACATGCTATTATCAAATTTGCTTGAGTTCCATTCATTTAAATGGCAATTAAGTTTGCATGTTATTAGTTAATGCATTTTTGATATTTGTCACTCTAGTCAATGCAGGTTTTCTTGTTTAGTTTGGAGTGTATTGAATAGCATAATATGTGAAGCAATCTGTAGCACTGAAATGGCTGGCTTTTTGGGCAACTTGTGATCACTTTGAAAGTAAGCCTATATACTGTCAGTTTTGATGACCATCTTATGCGAATGAGAAACTTGAAAATAGCCGGCATATATATTCCATTCAGTTTTCATGCTTTGTCATTTGACATAGGTCTGTTATCACTGTTGCCATTTGTAGGTCTTTATCGGCAGGTTTCTTTTGCAGGTCACAGGTCACCAAAAAATATGCGAAAACGTGATAAAACAGATGCATAGAAGTGTGTTCCAAGTGTAACTATAACAGCTCTTTTCTGGAAAAAAAAAAAAAACCATACGGAAAATCAGCTGTGGCACTGAAATAAATTAAAAAAAAAAAGATCCAAAGAAAGCCAAGACTTATTTCTGTTGGAAACATAAATTCTTTGTAGGCCAGGAGGGCCTAGAATCTAGTCTGTCACGATGTGTCATACACGGCATTTTGATGCATCAAAATGGAGGGTTCTGTATGTTTTGCGAAACGTGGATAGAATTTGTAATTCATGTGACACATGATTTAGCCTTTGCATTTTTTTCTTGAAACGTGATTGCTTGCTTTTTTCTGTGAACGTGAAGCTGTTTTTCGAATTTTTCGTGATGCGTGAAAAGGCGAATTACTTATGAGTGAAATTGTTTTCAGAAGAGGTATATGGGACCCTCTTGTTTCTGTTTAGTACGTACCCGTTGTAAAGATTTCAAAAAAAGATAGAAATAAAACAGTTCAATTTGCTATCATAATGAATGATCTTATTACGGCAAAATATATCTAACACTACATGTCTGAAAGCTACATTTCAACCCATTTCGTACATATACCACCCCTAGAAATCTTTTCATTAAAATTATACAGTAAAACATTTTTAGTTGAGGTTTGTTGCATGGAAACATCGATAAACCTCTTATGAATCTCAGGTAATTCTTACATCACAAGTTTTACTGAGTGCTTTTTGATTGTGACCTGTGACCTGTGACCTGTGACCTGCAAAAGAAACCTGCCAGGTCTTTATAGCCGTAAATCAAGAGTTTTATGAATAGGGCTTTCTTAGACAGTTGAGCAATAAGGACGTTGATCAGGACGCTTGTAACTTTTGATTGAGCATAAACCCTGCTTGTAATTTTATCTTGTTTATCTTGGTGCCCTTTATTTATGTCTTTGGGACAATTTTTACTGCAAACAGTTAAATCCCCTTTCAGTGGTGGCTGATTCCTTATAAAAGGACAGTCACACCACCCCCTTTAAATTCCTTAAATTCCTCGAATTCCATGAATTATTTCAAACAACTAATTTTTTTTACAATCTAGATATATTTCTGTATTAGCTCTGAAAATTACATTCTTATGGGGTTAATATTGCTAATGTTTCGTTCATAGTAAAATGTGCAAAAACTTGCCAAATTTGCCTGCAGTACTACCTTAAATGTATCAACATTTAAAAATAAGCAGTATCAAAGGTCAGTCACTCAAAGATCAGACTCTTACTGTGTTGTCTGATTTCTATTCAGGGAGCATCAGCCAAGGGTATGAATCCAAGATATGCTAAGATTGTGCCTGTTCATGTTCCTCTGGATCTCGACGAGAACACCAAAGAAGTTCTCAACCTTGGTTACAAAGCACGTAAAGATGTCAAAAGTCAAAATCTAAAGGAATGCTATGAAGGAATTGCTACCAAGGAAATCAGAATGGAGGAGAGGAACATCTACTGTGGTGCATATAATGTGCTGGTTCTTCAGGACATGTGGGTAGCTTTATTTCACTTAGAAGAAATAATTAAATGTATCACATTCAAACATTTTGACAGAAATGCTCTTTGAGTGTTACGCATCAGAACACTGTTTAAATATGAATTTTAATGCATGTATCATCCTTGTAGATCCCATAGTTACATGTATGCTCTTGTATTATTCATTGACTGTAGCTATTGTCACTCCAGTTTTCCTCTACAGTTAAACTAGGGTATCCCTGAT